GCTCAGCTGATTTTGAAAGAAGAGTGCGGGTTTTTTTACACCTAGAGATGACAACCACCAGTGAGCACAAGGGGTAAAACACAGCTGGCTTGCAGGCTCCGGGTTCAGGAGGATGAACTACCTCCAGCCAGGAGAGCAAGGGTCTCACTTGCCCCCTCCTTAGGCAGATTGCAAGGACCTCCTCCAGCTCAGTGAGTCGGTAGCACTTGAAAGCCATCCCCTCTTGCACCATCACACACATGGAGCGGGTGTTTGCAGCCCCAGTCTGCAGTCCCCTTCCTTTAGATGGAAAATGGTAATACTCTGATTCCCTCTGTTGGATTTTTCACATGACTGACCACAAAATTATTAATATCTGAACGCAGAGCTGGTTCAGTTGGACAACTCATTCCCTCCAAGGAGAGGAAAACCACAACTTCTTCCATCCCTGGAAAAACCTTTTGTTACTGCAAGACCAGCAACTCAGATGTAGTAGAGACGGTTCTGGTTTGCCAATACACCTCAGTGGAGAGCGTCAACCAGCATGAGAGAGTTCAGTTTGTTTCTTCTCTGCCTCCTTCACATCTCCAGGAAGGGTGAGTTCTGAGCTTGCTATGAATCCCTGTCTGATCAGGGCTTTTCTTCTCGCTCTAATCAAAGTGCCAGGGGAGTTGCCTGATACAATAAACTCTCCAAGAATTGTAGCATTCATCGTGTTGCAGGTGCATGTAAGAATACTGGAAAAACTCAAAGGCTTGACTCTGCAATTTTCAGAGAGGTCTTTGGCTTGGGGTTTGGGCTGGGTTTTTTTTTGCATTTTTTTCTTTTTTAACTTGTGCTGGAGTTTATCTAATTTTTCCCCTGCATTGTCAGCTGGATGCAGCATTTCCACCACCACCCAGAATTGCTCTTTCATGTTCCTAGGGGTTATTATGCAACAGACACAATTTGCTCCAGTTCCACTGAGCACTGAAGCTCACGTTTAACTTCAAGTATGCACTTCAGTTCCATTAAACTCCATGGGATTTGCTCTAGATATACTGTAAGGCAGCATTTGCTAGAGCAAGGCTAGTGTCTGTGGTGGTCTCCAAGTCTTGATCTTGTTATTGCCTTCATGACCTTTCCTCTGACAACTAGCAGGTACGCTGACCTGACAACTCCTTTCAGGAGTTCCCTCAGGTAAGGTGTGTAGGCTATTTGCCTACAGCCTTCTCTGCTTCTTGTGAGAGCTTCAATCCCAGGAACAAGTGGAGGCTGGATATTAGCAAGAGGAAGACATGGAAGACCCCCCATGCTGAAGCTTTAATGTTAAGGTTAAATTATACACAAAATGCTGACAACTCCCTCCACTTAGAACCTAAGCAAACTGTGTTTCCACAGAAGTGGGTGGAGCTGATGACATTAGAAGCACTTATTTTTAACATTATTTCTCATGTGGAAGGCAAGGGGATGTTTAAGTGCTAAAAATAATGTTCTTTGCTTAAGATTTAAAAAAAATGTAAATCAAAAAGCTGGAAGAGAAAAGTAAATCATGTACTCAAAAGCACAGTATCTGCAGTTCTCCAAAAGTAAGGGTTACAGTGACATGCTGTAAAATAAACAAAATAACATGAAATAAACTAGAAAGCAATAGCATTTTTTGTTTTCACCGCCAGGTCCTTCTGTTCAAAGTCCATGAGCTTCCTGGAGCCCCTGTGGCCATGTAACCTTTTATATTAGATTACCAGGGCTGCAAAAGGTAGTCGTATAGTTGTGCTGAATGACAAGGCAGCCCGACTCCAGATCTCAGAAATCAAAATACCAGCTTGGTGCTAAATTCCAGGTAAATAACTTAATGGCAGAGAACCAGTCCTACGTTGGCCTTTGTCCATGGTGCAGCGCACAATAGATTAATAAAAGCTACACTGCCATTAAGGTATTCGTCAAATATTATGGAGAACAGATATATGAACAAGCAACAAATCTTATCTTCAAGTTTACACAATTAACCTGGCAGCTGAATGCTCACAGACCACAGCAAAGTTAGCTAGACCAGGGACGGGTGGCAATTATTTACCGGACACCTTTACATTTTTGACAGTTATTCTCAGCTATTGAGGGGAAAGCACCTGATTTAATGAATCCATCAAGTGAGTTTGATAAGACAGGAACATAGCCACAGACGATCCTGAAGCCACAATCTGCTGCTAATGGCTGCTGCAATTCGCAAGAGAGTGGAGAGATACACATATCTACATGGAAAGCACTGCCTATAGGTGCTGTTTGTTGATGCTGTTGGTTCCCGGGGAAGGGGAACAGATGAGATGCTGAGTTTTCCCAATATACCTCCAAGGTGGTGAGCGTCCATGCAGGTGAAGCCTGCTTTCATTACTGGACAGAAATGATCAGACTGGGTCTGGTGGCAGCGAGGTTCAGCTCCCCAGACTGCGCGAGGGTTTACTGTGACCAAATTTGGCCAAGAGAGCAAAATCCCAACCATTTGTGACATCTCGGCTGGAAAACTCAGGATTTCCCTCACCGTGACACCAGGGCAAGGCCTGTCTGGGAAAACACTGGCAGCTAGAGTCCATGTAGGGATCACCAGCTCTGCTAACGGTGAGATGCTTGCTTTGCTGGCAAGGGCATCCTCCTTCCTACGATAGGAGCTGATACGGGGAACTGGCCTGTTCTCACCAGTCTTTGTACGATGAGTATCTCCAAGTCTTTATTCAGATCCTGTCACGTCTTACGAATAAGATGCTATTTTATGATGATAGCAGCATTGATCGTCAGAGGCATCAGCTGTTACTATCCTCCCCAGGGTTAACACAGCCACCAAGTGATTAGTGCAACAAATACTATAACGTACGTAGGAGTGCGTGTGTGCATGCATGCACTCAGATACAAGGCTGCTACACTGACTGCATTTCAGTGCCTAAAGCCACCAGATCTCTGAATACATGCAAATCTTTTATTTTTAGCTTTTTTCTTTTCTTAATTTAAAAAAAAAAAAAAAGTCTGTTCCTCCAAGCACATAAATGTCTGTTAACTGCAAAAGACCGTGTTAAACAACTTACGATGCTATTGTTCACTTTACAAACAAGAGGCCTGCTTAGGAATTAAATCATTTTTGACATGAGCTAGCCAAGTCCCCTGAGCTCTGCTGCAGACTGGTACCATATCTAGCCACCGTACCTGGGCTACGTAATCACCTGCAAGTCCTCAGCAAGAAGGAGAGCACAGGGCCCACCAAGGGAACAGAGGATCCATTTCCTGAGCGACACACAGCAGGTGCGGGAAGGATGCCCAATTTCCCTCTTAAACACTCCCGATAAATCAGTCTTGATCATCTCTTTTTGCTTCTAGGTGTGCAGTCCAACAGCTGGTCCGTTCATGTCCCATCTGACGTTACTGGCGAACTCGGGAAGATGGTTATCCTGCCCTGTACTTTCACGCACCCCTACAAAACATTTGACCGGACCCTTACCGCCATTTGGAGGATCAAGGAACCTTACAACGGCACGGTAGTTTTCAAGTGCATTAGTCAGAGCACCAGCGAGCTCTGTAAGACTGCCATCAGCTACAAAAACAAATACAAACTGCTTGGCAACCCCCGGCACAAGGACCTTTCCATCAGGATTGACAATCTGACCTGGAGCGACAGCGAGAGATATTTCTGCCGGGTGGAGCTGTCCGGAGATATCCACGACAAGTACGAAAGCAGGAAT